CGGTGCGGTGGCTGCTCGACGCCGCGGCCGCGGGGCTCCCCGAGGACGGCCTCGACGTCTGCGGCTGCGCGGACGCCCCGCGGCCCAACGAGACGGCCCCCGCCTTCACGGCGGTCCCCCCCCTCCTCGATCTCCACACCTGCATCCATCGGTTCTACACCATGACGACGGCGAAGGACGCGTCGATTTTGGTTTCGGTCTCGCAGCCGGACCCCGCCGCGGCGAATCGCGCGAGCGAGCCCACCAGGACTCCTCGGGTTTTCCACCATCCCTCGTATGGGGTCTTCGTCGACTACGGATTCCCCAAGGGCGCTCTGTATCGCATTGGGGTCGTCGATCTGGATGACAAAACTTGTAAGACACTGGAGCACTACTTTGAACACGACACAGACATTTTGAATGCGGTTAAAATGATTCATTATCCGCGCTAATGTACTCTCAGATTGAGCTAACCTGATCGAACTTCATATATTATCAGTACCTTGTCTTTTCCTCATTTGACTTTTTTTTTTTCTAATTGGGACCCCTAAAGTAGTTCGTCACTTTTTCTCAAAGTCCCTTATGGTTTGATAACTTTTTTATAATTTAATTTCCGTCTTTTGAATTTCCACAGGATTCATTGGACTATATGTTTCGAGCCGATGTGCAGCTAACTTAACCGAAATATCAATCCCATTCTTTTTTCTACTTCTCGAATTTATTTTCGTTGCATTTTTGTTTTAGTTACCTCTCGCTCAGTATTCTAGTGAGGGTTATTTTTCAAAGGTGACGATATAAATTTGGCCATCAAATTTATATCGATTAACACAGCGGAAAAAAACCCGTTTGTATACCATCATCGGAATGACTACCGATTACAAAAAAACGTTGACAAGCAGTATTTCCCCCAAAGAAACGGAACACCTAATAGAACGTCTTTACACTCAATCTATTGAGAGAAAAAAAGCCATCCTAGAGGAATCGGAGCGGCGCTATTATCCCATCGTGGAGCCGCAGAAAATATCCGCCGAGAAGCTTCAAAAAAGCATCGAACGACAGGTTGATCATGAAATGGCCTTACGGCAGGCTCGCGCTCAGCAGGCGGATGCGTCGCTCTACGGCTCCCATCGCGGCGCCACCGCAACGCGAACGTTAACCACCGACGACATCGCCTCTTCCGTATCGCGACTTTACGATCAGTCGTTGGAGAAGCGGAATGCCAATATGGCGGAAAGCCAGAGCCGCTATATGTTTCACCCGCCTGAGTCGAAAAAAATATCCAAGAAAGAGATTGACAATCATATCAATGTATTGAGCAAACCTCGGAAAACAGAATACACTATTGATGAGATCAATAGGATATATGGATTGATGTGATCAGGAGTTTATTGTTTAAACTTCTAATCACTTTACATGTACAAATTGCATTTCTTTCCATGTTAGTTGTTTGAATGAAAAACGAATAATTGTGATAGAGGACATTTCAACTCCAATTTTTAATTAGAAAAACGACATTTGATCTTGCCAATAATTTTTCCCTGTTTAAACCCAATTTCATTTTATGAATTCTAAAAGATGCGCACCCAGTAAATGAAAGCTGTCTTTAAATCGAAAGCGACCTTTTTCATCTACTAAATCCCATCAACGAGCGTGGTGTATGGATGGAGGGCGAAAACGTCGATTCCACCGACCATTTGTCTCCTTCCAGTGAAAAAAAATGCCGTGAATCGGCCAATTCCGCGGCTTCGACGCGATTGCGTGCGGCCGAGGCGGTTTTGTTTCCCTGCGCGCACCACCACCGCGCGGTGGTTCTCTGCACCGCCGCCGGGAAGGCCGCGAAAAAAGGCCGACCCGCCGTCATGGGGGGGACGGTTTTTTGGATTACCTGCCCACACCTCAACAACGTGATTGCTCGGATCGAGCGAAATGGCGGGGTCAAGGCCGCGGCCCAGGTTTTATCACGCCAACCCACCGCCATGGCTAAACATTTCGCATCCCACGTGCGATATACCGAACGCGTCAAGACGCTGCTGACGGCTCAGCAGTGGGATTTCTTTCTTGCCCATTTTGTTGAACCCGAGAAAGGGTCGAGTCGGCTGTTTGGGAATGCGGCCGTGAGCCACGCGGATGATGTCAAATGCCTCCACGCATGGGTCGCCCAGGCTTTGGCTCGAGCAGCGAATCCGATTGGGGAAGGAATTATTAATTTGATCTTGTTTTTCCACTTGCTCATCAGTGATTATCGCAAGGGGGTCGACAGCGATGATAATGACGCTTCTTTGAAGCACTATATGGATTCTCCCATTCCCCTTTATGATTTTCTAACACAAGCCTTTTCTCAGGATACAAAAAGCGAGCGAGAGATCGAATTCACGATTGGTAATGAGCCAAAAAGGGTATCATATTCGTGGATTAGTGATCCTGTGGTGTTGGAGGCTCTCCAAATTGATCTTTGTCAACGTTGCTTAGACGTGTATTTATTCTTAGAAGGGCGATCCCCTCGCGTTTCCTCAAAGCGTCGTTTAAACTAAAACCCTAAAGGAGTCTGTCCTTATGAGGAAGGGGCTGGGAACATTTCGGAGGTCTTTCTTTGAATTTCCGAAGTATTTTCGCTAACTAATGACGGATTAAACGAAATCGGATAATGTGGTGTTTGCCATTAAAGACATAAACTCTATTTAGGCTCACGAGTAGTTCATTACCTTATATTTTCACCAGCCATGATCCATTCCATGATTTTCAATCTTTTTTTTGGCGTGAAGCTATTCTTTTTTTTTCTTCCCCTTCCCGAAAGTATTAACCATAAATTTCCTTGCCTTTGTAACTAAGGGAAACCTTGACAATTTTTTTTTCCACGTTGCACCCGTGATTGCCTTTTTGCAGGACCGCGACGTCCCGATTCGCATCCCCCTCCCCATGCCTTCCCCGGTCCCTTCCCTCCTCCCGCCGGACCCCTCCCCCGGCTCGCACCTGACGCTCGGCCTGATCCTCCTGTTGGGTCTGGGGTACTTCTACCTGCGCTGCCGCCGGCGGCGCTCTGCCCGGGCCCA